GCATGGATGACTAGAACCCTGTAGGGCTCCTGCCATTAGGCTGCAAAATATTAAAACCTGATACAGCTGTTTTTCATTTTATTTGGTCCAAAGTGGTGTATAATCTTACTGCACTTGGTTCCATGGTAAGTTACCATCATTCTATTTTAGAGGTAAAGAGCTGAGGCTGAAAGATATAAGCAAGGGCAAATGGAATTCTGCAGAGAATACTGGTCCCTTTTCAGTCACTGGTCCCTTTTCAGGGAAGGATGCTGCCTTTTTACCTCAGAACAGAGAGGTCTTCCATCCCAGTCTGGTACTCTGCTCTTTCGGAGTGCCAAGCAACTCCAGGGATTCCCATCCAACCCTTGTTTGGTCTTCCTCCACCTGCTGTGCCTTTCCCGGGACACAAAAGACACACATGCTCTTCAGGGCTTGCAATGGAACTCTGCATCAGGACCTTGTGTGCTTCGCGGCCTTTCCCATTCCCTCATTCAGTAGCTGTAACCCTGATTCTTTTGGCAGCTGCTGTTCTTCTCTTGACTTCCCTTGCAAGACATTTGCAACCGAACTAGCCAGGGCTTTTTTTGTCATAGAACGCACCGGAACGGTGTTCCGGCACCTTTTTTTGACGAATTGTTCCAATGGAGTGATTTTGAATCTCCTGTGGGCTGCTTGTGTGTCCACGCTGATTGTGAGGGCGCTGCTCGACTTGGGACGCTGCTCGGCTTGGGATTGGTGTATGTGGTCGCGCGCTGAGTGCTTACTGCCAGCGGCGACCATTATGTTTATGTGTGTGTAGAGTGACTGAGTTCCGGCACTTTTTTTTTTACAAAAAAAACACTGGATCTAGCTGAAAACTTAACTCCTAGGCTGAAGACCAACCCTGTCTGGTAAACCAGGGGTGGAAATACGTCAAGCTTACCATCTGAGGGGGTGGGTACTAGAAACTCAAGATTCAGCAACAAGATACGAATGAAAGATGTGGGAAGAAATCAAGCTTACAAAAACTACTTTGTTTTTTCTGAGTTGTTTTGTTTTTGCTAGAAATGAGAAAAAAAAAAGTCTTAGGGACCAGACATGCACTTTGAATTAAGGAACAGAGTACCTCTGAACACATGCTCAGCCAGGAATTTGGTTTCAGTACCTGAATTAATACTACTTTTGTGCACAAACCCACTCCTGATTACTCCCACCAAGTGTTCCTCCTTTCAGCGGTCTGACTTAGGGTGGAGAAGCCCTTTTCCTTTGTTGCTGGTGGGAGGCAAACCTTTGCTGATTCTCGCAAGTCATCCACAGAGGTCCCAGTAGATCCTGACCTATCTTCTGCCTGCCCTGTACTATTTAGATGATCTGTTGTGATTACAGTATTTTCCAACACCTTCCTCACCCTGTTCAGGCTTTATGGTGAGCCTCTCTAAGCCCCCACCCTTCTTAACACCACCATTTTCCAAACTATTCATGCTTTGGGGCCATTCTCATATCTATGTCCAGTGTTCACATACTTCCTTGTTGCTGGGCAGAAAGGTGGTACGGAGGAATAACTGAGGAAGTGGGACTGCAATCCCTGAAGGAACCCTTCTCTTGACCTGGCTCTACCTGAGGTCTTTCTCTGAGTGCCATCTCCGAGAGAGGCTTGGACAGAGGCAACAAGGAAGGGGGCCTTCTCAGAGGTGGCCCTCCGATTCTGGAATGCTTTCCCACTGAGACTCACTGGGTGCCAAAACAATCACCTTTATGGTGCCAGGTTAAGACTTCCTGCTGGTTCCAAGGCATTTAATGGTATATGATGGGATATGTCAGCTCTTTTAGCAGGCCTAGTTTTTATTAAAATTGTTTCCATTTTTAAAACTTCTTTAAAATTTATATTGGTATGTTACGCTGTTTTATTTTATTCTTATTTTAGTCTTATAGATACATCCTCCTCCTCCTCATTTCTATACTGCTCCAGTGCCAAAACTCTGGGTGACTTACAACAATGATCTATTTTATTATTGTACATGTTATAAAGTGCTGTGAACTACTCACAGAGCTTTGGCTATTGGGGCAGTATAGAAATAATAAAAATGGATATTAGACTGCAGTGAATAATACTTTTCAAGTAAGTTCATATACTTTGATTAATGGTTGCAGATGTCAAATACAAGTTTGATTTTTCACTCAAGCCTGAATGTCATAAAAATGTCAACACTAAATTTAATTTATAATTCTAAATGTGTACCTGTGTTGTTGTATGCATAGTTTTATCTCCCTTAACTGAGAAATAATGTAAATGATGTAGGAACTAAATAGCTGGCAGAGAATTCACTCCCAGGTAAGTGAGCACTGGACAGAAGTCTAAGAACTGCAAATGAACACCCTACAAACTGTGAGTTAGCAGTTAACAAGATAATCTGATGTTTCCTTTTGTAAATAAACTTATGATTCGCTCTTTGCAGATGCATGATATTTGCCAAACGGAAACCTTGCTTTGGTTATTTAGTTCCTGGAAGGACATTTCCCAGTGAACAGATTACTTGCTTGATAGCTCCTGATAGCCTCTGCCTTTCACAAGACTGCCCTTTCTGGCACCCCATTCTGACCTTTCCTAGAGCCAGGGCATAACAAAAACAGATCAATGGTGCTAATATAATTTGAGAATTTTAGCATGTCTAACCATCCAACTAGAATTAGATTTTTTTTTTTTTTTAAGAATACAAATCGGGCTTAATTGCAAAACATACACAAGTGTGGCTTCCCGATTGGTTATTTGTAAGATTTTTTTTTCTGTCCAATAACCCAGTTAAAAAGTGGGGGGAGGGGATGGGGATAATTTCCTAGAGAGGTAAACATCCGACTTCTCCCCTTCTTTTCTTCCTAAAGTAAACGTTCTTGCCACAAGGAATTAAAGGCAGAGAGGAAAGGATGACCATAGCCTGGCAACAGGATGTCAACAAAGTGTGACCTTTCATTTCTTCTGGCTCCTCAGCCTGAATCTGAAACACCAATTACACCCTCTGCGAATGATAAATATATAAAAAGGAGAGGTCCCACTTTAGCTGACTTCCATGACAGGCTGAACTGTCATTTCCTCTTGCTTCTAATTTTAACTCACACAGCAAGTAGGGTTGTGTGTTTTGGACTTTCTTCCCCTTTGCTTGTGGTATGTGACATGCCAAAGCTTCCTCTTTTTTTAACTCTTTCATTTATCTTCACAAAGAAAAGATAGGATTGGTCCTTACAGAGCTTGCATCACTCTGGAAATGGAACCATAACAGATATCCATGTGACCTTTAAATAAAATAGGAATGTTCTGAGTAATGCCTCTTTAGCTTACAGCACTGTCCCCCCCCCCCCCCCCCGCATGCAATGCATCTTCCTCAATCTGCTGATCTGCAAACGGGGCTATCTTTCTCACTGATCTAGGGGCTGAGCAGCGAGTGGCGTGGCTCTTTTTCACTGACTCCAGCCTCATGCATGCCTCCCACTAGCAGAGCAAGAGTTCCTTCCTGACGGGGTCTTCTCACTCTAACCTTGGATGCACCTGGACACACATGTGGGCAGGCCCATCCCACCTGGGTGATGATTGTTTGGGAAGCAGCAGTGCAACTAGCCCCACCCACAGAGCCCTTGCGTTCAGGTACTGCCTGGGGTAGTGTGGGAAGATGCCACACAGAAATACTTGGGAGGTGGATCCTCTCAGAACCCCCTCTTGGATTCAGATGTGCAATAACTACGACTCCGGTACACAGGTTGCCCTGGGTTTGGCGCTGTTCTACATCCCATCTTTTGGAGCACAAGATCTTTCAAAAGTTGGATGCTTCTGCATACCAGCTAGTTCTATGAGTGTCAGAAGCCAAGAGACTCGGTTCTCATTCTGAAGTAGGATTCTTGTGTTTTGCTGTTCCAGAACAGAAATTTGGCTCTCCTTTACTATATCCAAGCTATGGGTGGTACAAAATGGTGCCTGCTTCAGAAGGTTAAAGTTCCCTTTCCCTGAGTTTTTCATTGGCTAAACAATTTTGAGTCAATAAGAGGTGCAGTCATGTATTATGTCTGGACAAATCATTCCTTTATATCCCAAGAGTATCATTCCTTTATATCTTTCCTTCATATCCCAAGAGTTCCAGCATTGCTGAAATAGGATTTCCAAACTAATATCCATAAAATAAGCTATTTTAATGCATCTTCTGTCTATACATGCTGAAAAATAATGTTATGCACTTGACCTACCCAGGAATCCAGCTTCAACATACAGCACAAATAAGTGCTATTGACAAATATTTCCAAGTGCGCCTCTATAGGAACAAGTCTGAAACCATTCAGGGACACAAACCATTCCGTCAAATGCAGCCTTGATCACCTCACACAACCTGTTCTCCTAGGAAGTATCGCTACCCTTACTTGTTAGGAGGAACTGAGGCAACTGAGTGAGAGAAGCAATTTGCCCAGAAGCAGCTACTGGATTCATCTTGAAATAGCAATCCAGAACTGAGGATGTTGCTCCCCTCCCTCCCACACTGAATCACTGCCCAATTCTCCTTGATTTTTCAGGTCATCAACTATGGCTGCACTCCAAATGCTTCTGTGTCAGAGGTCAGAGTTACATGAACAAGGAGCAAGGCCTTTTTAGTGTTAGCAGTCTTTCAGAGGCATTCTCTCTGAAGAAAAGTTCATGAGCTCTGTGCTTAGTCTGGCAACTTTTTTAAATTGTGAAATATTTTTGGAAACAGTGCAAAATTCTAATCTGTATTTTGTTTAGTCTGTGATGCCTTGCTACAGATGCAGATACTTTTTAAAAACAATATTTTGCATTTGTTACTGTCTGACCCATTGTTTTCAGTAAAAAAGTACTTTTGTTATGGCTTCTTACTCTTCTATGCTGTCCTGAGGGCTGTATAGAGACATGTGGAGGAGTAGAAGTCCCCAAACAACGTGATGATACTTGCAGAAATTGTGGGAATATAAATATAATGCCAAGGCAAGTGAGAATTAGACTGAATTTCCCAGTCCTGCAATACAAAAAGTAGAGAACAACCAAGTCACAAGCAGATTTGTCTTTATTGTGATTCTTGCAGAATGTAGCAGGTATTTATTTAAAGGGGAAAAAACACACACAACTCAGAAGTGTTAATTGTATACTTGGGTTGGAAAGGAGATTATGAAGGGAAGCACTATAAAAGAAATGAGCAGTTTAGTGCCAAGAGAATATGCTAAGCAAAAAGCACCTGTACAGCTTGGGTCCTTCAGCGATAGCAGCAGTATTGGATGGGAGAAAGCATTTAAAACTTGGTAAGAACACAAAGAACACAATGGTTTGAAAGGTTCACAGGCACTGGATGCAATCTACTTGCCCCACAAAAAGCTGCAGTAGGGGAACTTTTCTTTATGCCTCTTTGAATGAAAAATCAGAGTAGGATCTGAACCAAACTAGCTCTGGGGAAAGGGACAGGTGCAACCAGTATCTCTGAGAGGCCCAGCTTCTTTGACTTTTTATTTTGTAATTTGTAAGCCTAATGAGCAAGAAGGCTTGTGATACACACTTGCTTCCAGAAAAATGCACACAATTATACTTTCAGGAGAAGAAGCTTCCCCAGACATCCTAGCTGCTGGGGGCAAGGATATGCATAGTGAGAGTTATAGACTGCTTAGGATGGGATGTGTTGGGATTAGACTAACATGAAAAGAACTCAAAGCACCCATAGACGTCCTCCAGGTACTGCTCCCCCACCCCCATACGATTCGCTCGAGAATGTCCAAACAGGTAGAAGTGCCCATACAAACCTCTTCAGAGCTAAGTGAAACTAAGCAGGAAGAAGGTTAGCATCCTAAGAGTGCAAATCACAGTGAGTTTGACAAAGCCCCAAGGAAATGGATTTTAATGTGTTTGACATGCCAACAGGTGGGTGTTGCATAAAGACAGTTGAGTCACCCTTCTGTTCTGAAGAGGAAAATGCAAGCCAGAGCTTCTCGGAGCAAAGGGGAACGCTGCAGCAGCTGCTCCTAGTCGCTGTAATGCTTGGTCATAAACTGGGCTGAAGCTACAGGTGTTCCAAGCTGGAACTTATTCACAAAGTTCTCCACTTTCCAGGAACCTAGAAAGGCAAGAGAAATGACTGAAATCACTACTGGAATGGCCCTGGATTCTACAGCTCAGCCTCTGCCTATACTCCATAGAGGCAGAATTATCTGCTTAAACCTAGACGCACACTGATCAAGCTGGGACTGAGCCCCATGGGTGTAGGTAGTTAAGCCACTCCTGGATCTGCTTTTTAATTCCGTGTGGTAGCCAGCCTTTAGCCAAAGGTACTCTCACAGTCTTGCTGAGGAGTAGCGTACCCAGGAGTGGGGGCAGACAAACTGTGGGGAGGTAAGCTGTGATTGAAAAGCTGACTGGGATCTCCATAACACCCCACACACCCCTTTCCCTCTAAAATCAGAGCCCCTGCTCTGTTCTTCCATTTTATATGCTAATAGGGCAGAGTCACGTCTGAGTGCCAAAGGGGCTCTTGAAAATGTAGTTGTACTGTACAAACAACACACCTTAAGGATTGAAAGTGTGTGCACATGTGCTTTCCTAAGCCCCAGTGCAAGGCCTTCAGTTCTACATCACAGGAAGGATGTGGCAACACCCTTTACTGCACAGCAGTTACCCACTGTGTGCTCTCATCTCCTCTGCCCACCCAAATCATTTGGCCAGGAATGACTAGACAATGCCTTTGCTTACCTGATATGTCTCCCTGCCAGTAGCCTGTGCTTTCTAGTGATGTTTACGTCCAACCCAAATCTTGAAAGTGGATTGAGATGGCCTTTGCAAAGCAGAAGCTGGACTGAATTACTTTTGGGGACAGTTTAATGATGGAGTTTTCCAAGAGAGGTGAGAAATGTGTTCAATTCAAAAAGGAAAGAATTCTGAATTTTAGGGGTAAACTTCATAGCAACTCTTCTAGCTACATACAATATTCCTTCATAAACTCCTTATCTGAGAGACATATGCCCCTTACTGTTTTGCTTGATAACTTGTGTTTGTTTGTTTGTTTGTTCGTTCATTCGTTCATTCAGAGATTCCTATCCCATCTTTCCAGGATCTATGAATTATTCAGGGAGGCTTTCAACAATTTAAATCACAATGTTATAAAGTACAATAAAATACAATAAAAAATACAACAGAGACCCCCGGGGGGGGGGGGAATGTAATCTTTACACCAAACTGCAGATACTAATCAGGCAAGAGCCTGTAGGAATAAAAATGTCTTTTTCAACCACTGAAAAGCAGCTGGGGATGGGATCATCCACGCTTTACAAAGCAAGGAGTCTCACAATATTGTTGCAGCCACTGTGGTAGTCCTATTCCTCGTTGCCATCAACCACGCTCCACCCTGGTTCTCTTTGTATGTGTACTTGAAAGCTCCACATCCTCTGAATTCTACCTGCACATCATTCTGCATTGGCGCAACAAGACGTTAAGGATATATGAGGCAGAAGCAAACCAAGAGTATATCTTCCATGAGATTTACACAACAGGCCTATCTATTTTTATACAGTTGCACAGAATAACTTGGTATAGCTTTGCAGCCTTAAACTGGTTTAAATAACTATTTATTCAGTTGTGTGAGTGGAATCAAAGATCTCTAAAAGAGAACTCTCAGCACCTTTGCTAAACTACAATTCCCAGGAAATTGGAATAGCATATGTGCATTTTATACAATCATAGAATAGCAGAGATGGAACGGTCCAAGAAGGCTGTTGGGACCAACCCCTTGGTGTTGCATTTACACCATCCCACTTAGAGAATCTAGCAATGATCCAGAAATGTATAGTATTCTTGAATGGCACTTCATTGTGTTTAATGCCATTTAAGCTGTCCTGGTTACTTTTGTTTGAAGGATGAGTAACACATACTGAACTTGAAACTTTGAGCTATACTGGCCCAAGTTCAAGTCAATGGTAGTAAGATTTCTTGGAGATTTTCTCTTGTCTGCTACAAACTGCACCAACAGAAAACAGCTAGAGTGCTTCATGTGAACTTCCTGGTTTCCAGAGGGAAGGACATATCTTTGTTTTCACACTTCATGCTATCTGTTCTTTTAAATTCTAACTTGGTCTCACATGTGATTCCTCTTATGACTTGGAAAAAATGCTTCTCATCACTTCCCACCAGCCCACCCCAAAGGAGCCCTGGAAATCCCCAGCTACCAGTGTGGCTATGCTCACGTGGGGAAGGCAACACAGGGGACTCCTCCCTTCACTGAGCTATTTGTCAAGGAAATGTGATTCACCCCCTGATGCTCACTACTTCCCACTATTCAAAGACCTATTGAGCCTCGGCCACTCCCTCCCCTTCGACCATTCCTCCCTCTGTATGCTGGAGTGGCCCATGTCAGCTTCCATATGGCGCTAGAGCACTGCTCAGCCCACACACGTGCGCACACACATGTTTCCAGCTGTAATTGTAGTAACATTCTTCTCTTCTAAATTACACGGCTGGCTGTGTGGGAAGAAGACAAGCCACAGTCCTTGTTGCTGTCGTTGTTTTAATGTAAAACCCCTCTCCCTGCAAAACTCTGATCCCATGACCTAAGAACTATGGATAAAAATGAATTTACTGAGAAACAAGAAGTGAAATTGCATGTAGCCCCAGAGCGATCGCTTCCATGCCCATTAACTTGAACAGGAAACCCTGGGTGTTACATGCCTTGAGTGACGAATTCGCAGCACCCTGGCTCCAGTGGTGATGCTTCAGGGCAAAATTAAATGTGAGCGGGGCAGAAACATTTGAAAGGGGCAGGCTCCATTCATGTTCACAGCAAGGTGGTTGGGTGCTGTATGTGTGGGCATCACAGAGATACAACAAAGCTGTGCACAGGTGAAGGGAGCAAAAGCTTCCTTTCCCCCAGTTCCTCCTGCTCTTTTGCTCCAGGCACTTTTCTCCCAGCTTCGCTCTGATTCTGCAGTAGCTGTTCCTACTTCTTTAGCCGAGGGCAGTGGGGAACTGCACGTTCTGAGCTTGGAACATTAGCCACCTTTCACAGCAGGGAACGAAAGTGTGCTACTTTTACCCTTATTGCATGCAGTGCCCTTGGCAGTTTATAAAAATGTAAGAAAAGCCTTGCAAGCTTAGACCTTGCAAGATCTATCAGATACAGCTTCTTGTTTCCCACAGTGGGAAATCCACAAAAACTGCCCTCCTCTCCAGTGGTCCCCCGGTCACTGCCACTCGGAACTGTATTCTCTTCAGGACCTGTGACTCTGAGTAGATGGTCCACAGCAAGAGCTTGTGCATCTCTGTGCGTGCATGCGCATGTGTGAAGTAGTTGTCTTGAGTGCAGTTCTATTAGGATCCTTGCTGATACTAATTATTTGCGGGGCACTCCAGTGTTTGTGATGTGATGAGTTGGACTTTGGACAAGTGCTGGCTGGGACACAATGGGAGCTGCAGGACTTTTTCCTGACTTAGCATGTAAAGGATCATACCCTCAGTCTCAGATATTTTGAGACTCTAGATCTGGCTGCCTGTGACTTTTATTGTCTACCCCTTGTCCTTCTTTATTTTATTTATTTATTTAAAACGTTTCTATACCATTATTTATTCTAGTGAATCTCACGATGGTTTACACCAATTTGCAGTAGTTTGCAGATGCTTTAGATGTTGTCATCCTTGAGCAATAAAATCACCCTTACTTTCAACCAGTTTTACCTGCTTTTTTCGGAATAGGGACAATGTAGTATTTTTTGCTACAGTGAAGCTTAATCACTTCCACCTACTGGTATGGTTGTGCTATTGTGCTTCATTCAGTTAAATGTTGAAGGAATGCTTAGAAAAGAAGTGGGAAGGTTGAAGCTCTGAATTTGTGTAAGCCAAAAATAAAAAGTGTACAAATCACGTTGGATTCTACATGCATATACATACCTGTGTAGATGCAGACAAAGGCATATGGCTATTTCACCCATGAAAGGGCAAAAATAGGACAAAAGAAGGTTGTGGAAAGAGTTAGTTCATTCACCAGTGTAAGGTTATGCTGCAAATGGCACAGACATACATAGGTTGGGAAAACATGGGAGCTGCCAAGAACTCTCACAACACCTCTGAAAGAACCTGGAGGAAGTCCTGGTTCAAAAGTTTCATGTGGAAAAGTTCTGCTTCTGATTGGCTTCAACAAATCTCACAAGTTCTGGAAAATAGGTGTTCAGGTATAGGGAAATAAGTTACCATAAATACTTCAAACATGATTTGGTCTTGATTCCCTCTCCCTGAATTATGGCAAAGGCTTGCCGGTCTAGGCCAGCGGCTTCTGCGCCGGATAAAGTACACCTTTTCAAACACCATGCCTGGGTCCTGCCCAGCACCCACCCACAAGCAGTAGGGCTGCCCACCTTGATTACACGGAACCGCTAAGAGAAATATTACAATTTAAAGTACCAGATAAGATTGAAAAAGGGAGAGTGGGGTAGTTCATTTTTATAGTAATCTATTTCCTTAAAATTGGGAGTTTATAAGCTTGCAGCCTTCACTTAAACTGATCAATATGTAGTATTGTAGGAATTAAAAGTGCTTCACACAACTATGGTATGAGAAGGGGATGCAAGGATTCTTCCATTGAGGCTTTCATTATGCAATTACGCTGCCACTTTCACAACATTCTGCAGGTGGTCCCAGTATCACCTTTGACAGGTAGCCTTCCCCAGGTTTCCTCATTGCTGCTGCTGCTTTCATACCAGAAAAAAAAATCTGTCAAGGAAGAAGGACCAGCAGCACTGTATCTTCTTATGGGTAACATTAGGAACCTTGCTTCTGGAAGCAGCCTTAGTTTACAGGATCTTATGGGCTGTTATTATTCCATTCTTCCTGGACCCACCCATACTGGCTTGTGACACAGGGATTGTTGCAGGGCCAGGAAGGCTGCCTACTTTATCGAAATGCAAATCTTAGCAGATTAATAAACACAACAAACCGACCCTGCAGGTCTTGCAAAACAGTGAGCAAAGAACAGTTGCTTCATCATCTGCCTCCGAGGCAGTGGGTCCACTGATGAACAAGTGAAGATGCAGCTGAGTTCAAGTGCCTTCTCTTTGCTACTACAAACCTAAGGAGGAG